CTCAAGGTCAGAAAGGTATTTACCTACATTTCTTTTAAAAGCATTAATTTTACTTTTGATACTAAGTATTTTGTTGTTGTTGTTTTTAGAGATAGGGTCTCCCCTGTTGCCCAGGCTGGAGTGCAGTGGCATGATCATAGCTCAAGTAGCTAGGACTATAGGCGAGCACAACTACACCCAGCTTTTTTGTTTTGCTTTTTGTTTTGGTAGAGATGGGTGTCTCTATGGTGCCCAGGCTGGTCTCGAACTCCGGGCCTCAAGTGATCCTCCTGCCTTGGCCTCCCAACGCTAAGATTACAGACATGAGCCACTTCATATTAAGTTTTTTTTTAGTTGAAGTCTCACTCTTGTCACCCAGACTGAGTGCAGTGGCATGCTCATGGACACCACAGTCTCGACCTGCTGGGTATAGGCAATCCTTCTGCCTCAGCCTTCCAAGTAGCTGGAACTACAGGTGCATGCCACCATGCACGGCTAGTTTTTGCGACTTACTGTAGAGACGAGGTCTCACCAAGTTGCCCAGGCTGGTATCGAACCCCTGGGCTCAGGCAATCCTCTCACCTCGGCCTCCCAAAGTGCTGGGATTACAGGCTGAGCCACCGCGCCAGACTGACAGTAAGTTTTTAATTCCTCCCGATTTTTTTGCATCTGACATGAAATGGGGACTCTGTGTCATGGTCTTCCATATGTAAAGCCAAGTTTCTGTTTTAGTTTCATTTATTGAAAATCGTGGGCCACTGTTTTGCTAAGCTATGGTCTGACCATGTGGCTCCTTGAGCTCGTCACCATGTTTCCAATCTTTGGCCCCCTCCCCAACCTTGGGAAGGTGAATCTCCTCTCTCTCTAAATGACTTTCTAAATAAACTACATTTTTTAATCTAAGAGAAAAAGAAAATCATAGATCTATATATATGTACAAAAAACAAGTATGTAACATCACTTTTCCAAATACATGCGAGTCTGTTTCTGGGCTCTCTAATCTATTCCATTGGTTGGTATGTCTCTCTCTGATCCAACACTATGACATTTTCATTTCTATAACTTTACAATAAATCTTTATAGTTGGCAGAGCATATTCCTTCTCCTATTCTTTTTCAGGACTGTCCTGGCTATTTCTGGCCCTTTGCTGTTATTTTTCACATATATTTTAAAATCAACTAAAGCTACACCAACCTGCACAGGCATACCTCAGAGGCACTGCAGGGTCAGTTTCAGACCACACGACTGTCTTTGGCTTCCCAGTGCACATAAAAGTTATGTGTCAGTTGGGCTTGGTGGCTCAGTCTGTAATTCCAGCACTTTGAGAGGCTGACGTGAGTGGAATGCCTGAGCCCAAGGGTTCAAGACCAGTCTGGACAACTTAGCGAGACCTCGTCTCTACAATAAATCAAAAAATTAGCCGGGCGTGGTAGCGCACTTCTGTAGTTCCCACTATTTGGAAGGCTGAGGTAAAAGGATTGCTGGAGCCCAGCAGGTCGAAACTGGGGTGGCCATGAGCGTGCCACTGCACTCCAGTCTGGGAGACAGAGTGAGACTCAAAAAAAAAAAAAAAAAGCTTTATTGCTAAAATAATGCTAACAAAGTAAGCATATGCTGTTGAAAAATGGCACTAATGGATTCATTCGATGCAAGGTTGCCACAAACCTTCAATTTGTGAAAAAATATAGTATCTGAGAAATGCAACAAAGTGAAGCACTACAAAACAGGTGTGCTTGTACATAAATTTGGGGATGATTGAGATCTTATAATAGTAAGCCTTCACTCGGTGAAGATAGCCATCTCTCCATCTACAAAAATTATCATCAAATCTTCTCAGTAAAGGTTTTCTGCACGCATCTTGCTAAAATCAGATCTAATAACTTTATTACTTATGTTGCTTTAATAAATTTTTTTATGATAGTAACTTTTTTTACAATTGTTTGTTAACTGGTGTAGAAAAATTCAACTAACCTTTTTATATATTGTTATTTCTAGCCATGTTGCCAAATGCCCCTTGCCAAATTTCTAATTTGTCTGTATATTGTTAGTTTTTCCATGCAGGAATATTGTTTTCAATTATGATAGTAAATGAAATTCATATTATTACCACAGTGTTATTCCCTTTCTTTTTTCATAATCCCTGCTCTAGCTAGGACCAACACAATCATAAACAGAATGGCAAGACAGACCATCCTTGTCTCACTCCTGGTTCTGGAGAGAAGGTTCCAATATTTTCTTATTTAGAATGATGCTTTTTGTAGTTTGTGGCAGATACCTTTTACCAAGTTTAGAAAGTGTCCTTCTATTGCTACTTTGCTTAGAGGATTTTGTACCATAATTTAAGGGGCATCTATTTTCAGGTGACCTTTTTCTATCAATCTGTCATTACAGTAATAGTAATTAAGGTAGCAAAACAAGCAGTCATTTATACAGCACTTACTGTGTGCCAAATACTACTCCAAGCACTTTATAGAATCCATCTGAACATCACAACAACTCTGTGAGGAAGACAGTATTATTATTCTGCAGGTCAGGGACAGGATGCAGAAAGAGGATGAGTAACACTCACAAGGACTCACAGTTACTAAGGGACAGAGCTGAGGTGCAAACCCAACAGGCCAGGCTCCTGAGTCATGTTTTTTGTTTTTTTTGTTTTTGAGTTGGAGGCTCACTTTGTCACACAGGCTGGAGTGCACTGGCAGGCTCATGGCCACCACAGTCTTGACCTACTGGGCTCAGGTGATCCTTCTACTTCAGCCTTCCAAGTAGCTGGAACTACAGGCAAGCATCACCACGCTCGGCTAATTTTCTGATTTATTACAGAGACAAGGTCTCACCAAGATGCCCAAGCTGGTCTCAAACCCCTGGACTCAGCAATCCTCTCGCCTTGGCCTCTCAAAGTGTTGGGATTACAGGTGTGAGCCACTGCACTCGGCCTGAGTCATGTTTTTTTATTTTTATTATTTTTATTTATTTTTTCAGTTGGAGTCTCACTCTGTCACCCAGACTGGAGTGCAGTGGCCGCTCCTGGCCACCGCAGCCTCGACCCGCTGGGCTCCAGCGATCCTTCCACCTCAGCCTTCCAAGTAGCTGGAATTACAGGCGCGCACTACCATGCCCCGCTAATTTTTGATTTATTATAGAGATGAGGTCTCACCAAGTTGCCCAGGCGGGTCTCAAACCCGCAGGCTCAGGCAATCCACTCACCTCGGCCTCCCAAAGCTCTGGGATTACAGGCTGAGCTACCGAGCCCGGCCTGAGTCATGTTTTTAAGCGCTGTGATTCCCCCAGAATTATATTTAGAGATTTTCTGATATTAGAACATCCTTGTATTCCTATGATAAACACAAGTTATGTATAGGTTTTTTTTTTAAAATGATGCCATCTTTTTCCAAAACTTTTGTATCTGTGTTCATGAATAAGATGGTGTTATAATTTCTCTTTCTCATATGTCCTTGTTTATTTTTGTTTCCAAGCTATAAGAACTTTATAGAATGAGCTAGGAAGTATTCTTTCCTTTTCTATTCTTTGAACAAATTTGTAAAGGGTTGGAATAACTTGCTTCTTAGAAACTCATAGAAACCACCTATAAACTTAGCTTGGTATTTTCTCTATGAGAAGATTTTTAGCCACTGCTTTAATTTCTTTAATAGTTAAAAGAAGCAGGGCTTGGTGGCTAAGCCTGTAATCCCAGCACTTTGGGAGGCTGAGGTGAGTGGATTGCCCGAACCCGCGGGTTCGATACCCGCCTGGGCAACTTGGCGAGACCTCATCTCTACAATAAATAAAAAATTAGCCAGGCATGGTAGTGCACGCCTGTAGTTCCAGCTACTTGGAAGGCTGAGGCGGAAGGATCACCGGAGCCCAGCAGGTCAAGGCTGCGGTGGCTGGGAGCGGCCACTGCACTGGGAGACGGACTGAGACTCCGACTCAAAAAAAAAAAAAAAAAAAAAAGTTAAAAGACACTTCAGATTCTCTGTTTTCTTCAGTTTTTTATAAGCTATATTTTACTTCACCTTTATTTTACCCATTTTTAATTTCTGTTTTGGGGCCAACTTTATAACATACATAAAATATATTGGAACAGTCAGGCGTGGTGGCTCATGTCTATAATCCCAGCTCTTTGGAAGGCCGAGGTGGGTGGACTGCTTGAGCTCAGGAGTTGAGACCAGCCTGGGCAACATAATAAAACCTCATCTCTACAAAAAAAAAAAAAATTCAAACAATTAGCCAGGCATAGCAGTGCACATTTGTAGTCCCAGCTACTCAAGAAGTTGAGGTGGGGAGGATTGCCTGAGCCTAGGAGAACAAGGCAGCAAGGAGCTGGGATCATCGTGATCATTCCACTTGTACTCTAGCCCGGGTGACAGAGGAAAACTCTGACTCAAAAAAACTAAATAAAAAAAAAAGCATACACACACACACACACACACAGATGCGTACAACAAATGGCATATAAAATAATTGAATATACATATTTTGATGGTATCTTTTGAAAATCTTTGTTTCTAGCTGGGCTCGGTGGCTCAGCCTATAATCCTGCGCTTTGGGAGGCTTAGGTGAGTGATTGCCTGAGCCCGCGGGTTCGTGACCCACCTGGGCAACTTGGCGAGACCTCATCTCTACAATAAATTAAAAAATTAGCTGGGCGTGGTAGCACGCACCTGTAGTTCCAGCTACTTGGAAGGCTGGGGCGGAAGGATCGCCGGAGCCTAGCAGGTCCAGTCTGGGCAACAGAGTGAGACTCCAACTCAAAAAAAAAAGAAAAGAAAAGAAAATCTTTGTTTCTGTTTGAGTAGCTATTTTCAGAAAAGTGTGGAAAGCATAACCCTACCTTAGTGATTCACTTTTCATGGCCCATCGTGCAGCAGGCATTATTCAAATTTAGGCTTGATCAGTTACTACAATAAAAACTTCACACCAAAATCTGACTCAGACTGAGAACAGCAGTACCACGAGCACATGGGTTCATCTAATTCCAAGGACCCACAGCCACCTCATTACTGCAAACCCACACTCACAGTTGCGAGCATGCTCCTTGGAGAGCAGGTAGTTGGCCAGTGGCGGCGTGTAGGTCAAGCACTGGATGGTCGCGTTCAGGAAGCAGGTATTGCCAAGGTTGTGGAGTCCAGCACCAACGCGGAAGACACGCTCCCATCTCAAAGACAGTCGCTCGGTGGGGAAAAGCACTTTCTGCGGGGCGGGGACTCCGTCACCACAGCTCTCATATGCATGTTCACTGCCTGAGAAAGACAAGGCAAGAAAAAAGGATGAGCCGGGCTCGGTGGCTCAGCCTGTAATCCTGCGCCTTGGGAGGGTGAGGTGAGTGGATTGCCTGAGCCCGCGGGTTCGAGACCCGCCTGGGCAACTTGGCAAGCCCTCATCTCTACAATAAATAAAAAAAAATTAGCTGGGCATGGTAGCAGGTGCCTGTAGTTCCAGCTACTTGGAAGGCGGAGGCGGAAGGATCGCTGGAGTCCAGCGGGTCGAGGCTGCGGTGGCTGGGAGCGGCCACTGCACTCCAGTCTGGGAGACAGAGTGAGACTCCAACTCAAAAAAAAGAAAAAAAAAAAGAAAAAAGGATGACATAAATCTATGCACAGGTAGACAAAAAGAGATTCCCGGTGCTTACACTTAGCATGCAGTTACTCAGAACACAGCACCAGAAGGTAACTGGAGTTCTCATTTACTGGACATTCCTAGAAAGCTCAGGAGTAAACCTAGTCACCCTGTAGACCTTCCAGGTTGCTCAGGTCTAGAATCCAAGGACCTCTCTATGGATGGGACGACCTGATTGATTCAGGAAGTGAGCAGCTGAAGGAACCAGGTCCTAGCACTCTGCACTATACTTGCCCCAGGGCAGCCCACCCATTTCTCTTTCTTATTTCCAAGCCCAACTTTTGATCCCATTAAACTCGAAAAGGTGGGGGGGAGGGGTGGGGGGGAATGGCAAGTTCCAAGAAACCTCTAAGTACACAGATTTCCAATCTATCAACACTGTATCATTACCTCTACAACTAATATCCACTGACTCCATGTACAATTTGTGAACTCTGAACACATTCTGTTGTTCCTACTAATTAGTCAACACCTGGTCCACCTACCTGGCCAACAGAGTGCAGGTCTTTCTGCCAGCACCCTAAACATCTTACCCTGTCTCCTGGCCGGCAGTTCATCTCCACTCCTGTGGCGAGTGGATCCCTCCGTTCTGGGGTTCAGCAACACATATTTGCTCTTTAAGGACTCCAGCTGGTAGGAGAAACTCTTGCTGGCTGGCTCAAACTCAATCTTCTGTAAAAGGACTTTCTTGGCAGAGGAGGCCAGAAGCTTCCCCAGCTCCCCATCATCAGCAGAGTCCTTGCGGCCAGGCTTCAGGGCCTCCTTCAACTTATCGACTATTGGCATGGTGCATCACTGTGGGGATAAGAAGGAACACAGACCTACGAATCACTAAGGCCCAGGAACAAAAACACCACTTTTCTTAAAATTCCTTTTGGTTGTCATGGATGCTAGCCACCACAAAAGTTTCCCTGGCTCAGGGGCCACCCTACAAAGGAAGTGTGAAACAGGAGATGTCACTTGGACCTATTAGAGTTCATGCTTCAGCCTCAAAAAGACTGGCTGCCACCACAGACAGAGCTAGGCAGACAGTAACGGCGCGAGGAGACCAGTCGCCTCGTGCGACTCTTCAACAAACACTCCTCAAGTGGTTTTGGACATCAGATTGGTGCTATTTCTTTCAAAAGGCCATCATGCAGCCCTAATGTCTGCTAAAAACAGGGAAAATTCATTCTCACACCCACTCTAGTTACAAATCCATGCAATAAAGGAACTAGCAGCCGGGCTTGGTGGCTCAGCCTGTAATCCCAGCACTTTTGGAGGCTAAGGCGAGTGGATTGCCTGAACCTGCGGGTTAGAGACCATCCTGGACAACTGGGCGAGACCTCGTCTCTACAATAAATCAAAAATTAGCCAGGCATGGTAGCGCACACCCATAGTTCCAGCTACTTGGAAGGCTGAGGCAGAAGGATTGCTGGAGCCCAGCAGTTCGACACTGGGGTGGCCCTGAGTGTGCCACGGCACTCCAGCCTAGGCGACGGAGTGAGACTCCCACTCAAAAAAAACAAAAGGAACTAACATGCATGCAGGACAGATAAGCATGCATGTCTGTATGAACCTGTACTCTTCAATATGATGGCCACAGCCTGCATGTGGCTAATGAGCATGTGAAATAAGGCTAGTCCAAGTTGAAGCAAGTATAAAATACACATCAGATTTCAAAGATGCAGTATAAGAAAATAATGCAAAACGTCACAGTGACTTTTAGATTAGTTATGGGTTGAAATGGTACTCTTTTACATATATTGGGTTAAATAAGGTAAATTTTAAAAGTTAATTTCATCTGCTTTCTATTATTTATATATTTCATTATTTACTAATAAGTAACAAGCTCTACAGTACTTCCCAAGTAGATATATTTTTGTTAGTATTTTACAATCGAATGGGAGACTTGGAGAAGTTAAAGTAGTTGTTCCTGGATTTCATAGCTAAGGGGGATAGAAACAGCTGGAGCTACCACATTCCAAAGCTGTGATCTACGTTTTTGCTTTTCTTGTTTCTTTGTTTTTTTGAGTGGGAGTCTTGCTGTCACCCAGGCTGGATGCAGTAGCATAATTCCAACTCACCACAGCTTTGATCTCCTATGCTCAGGTGATCCTTCTGTTTTAGCCTCCCGAGTAGCTGGGACTGCAAGTGTGTGCCACAACACCCAGTTAATTGTTTCTGATATTTTGTAGAGATGAGGTCTCACTATATTGTCCAGGCTGGTCTCAAATTCCTGGACTCAAGCAATCTTCCTGCCTCTGCCTCCCAAAGCGTCCTTAAGTTTAGGTGCCATATGTATGTTCTCTAGGCCTGTTGTTTGTTCCTTTTCTTCTTCCTCACTTTTAGAAAGATAACTTGTGCAAGCACTGTTTAATAGAAGTGCAATGTAAGGCACAAGTATAATTTAAAATTTTATAGTAGCTACATTAAAAAATAAAAAGCAGGCTGGGCGTGGTGGCTCATGCATGTAATTCCAGCACTTTGGGAGGCTGAGGTGAAAGGATTGTTTGAGCCTACAGGTTCGAGATCAGCCTGGGCAACTTGGCGAGACCTCATCTCTACAATAAATCAAGAAAAATTAGCCAGGTGTGATGGTACATGCCTGTAGTTCCAGCTACTTGGAAGGCTGAGGCAGAAGAATCACCTGAGCCCAGCAAGTTGAGGTTGCGGTAGCCATGAGCGTGCTACTGCCCTCCAGCCAGGATGACAGAGTGAGATTCCAACTCAAAAAAAAAAAAAAAGAAAACTTTTCTAAAGAAAAGTCAGGTGTGGTGGCACATGCCTGTAGTCCCAGTTACCAGGAGGCTAAGACAAGAGGATTGTTAATAAGGTCAGAAGTCTGAAGCTGCAGTGAACTGTGATCTCACCTGTGAATAGCCACTATACATTCCAGCAGAGGCAACATAGTGAGATCCGATCTTCCAAAACAGAAAACAAAAAATTTTGTAAAGAAGAGAAGTGAAGCCGAGCTCACTGGTTCAGTCTGTAATCCCAGCACTTTGGGAGGCCAAGGCAAGTGGACTGCCTGAGCCCTTGGGTTCAACACCAGCCTAGGCAACTTGGCAAGACCTCATCTCTACAATAAAATAAAAAATAGTCGGGCTCGGTGGCTCAGCCTGTAATCCCACGCCTTTGAGAGGCTGAGGTGAGTGGACTGCCTGAGCCCGCGAGTTCGAGACCCGCCTGGGCAGGTGAGACCTCATCTCTACAGTAAAATTAAAAAATTAGCCGGGCGTGGTAGCGCGCGGCTGTAATTCTGGCTACTCGGAATGCTGAGGCGGAAGGATTGCCAGAGCCCAGCAGGTCGAGGCTGCGGTGGCCAGGAGCGGCCACTGCACTCCAGTCTGGGCGACAGAGTGAGACTCCAACTCAAAAAAAAAAAAAAATAGCCAGTGGTAGCGCGCATCTGTAGTTCTGGCTACTTGAAAGGCTGAAGTGGAAGGATCACTGGAGCCCAAAAGGTCAACACTGGGGTGGCCTTGAGCATGCATGCCACTGCACTCCAGCCTGAGAGAAGGAGTGAGACTACAACTCAAAAATAAAAAAAAAAAACACTTAAATTTTAAAAAGCAAGCATAAGTTATCTGATTTGATAAAATAAAAGAGCCTTTTCTAATGAGAATTATCTAAGATTTCTCACCAGTTGAACAGTCAGTCATTGCTGGGTCATGTGCAGGTAACTAGGTAGAATGAAAAAAGAGAAACCTTTGCTGGCTTACCTAGGACGTGTGAACTTGGGCCTGCTACTTTCTTCTGCAGCATGGAATCAGATTCTGTGGGGAGGCACTGAGTCTGACTGGGCAGGTGCTTTGCCAGGCCCTTGAATCCACGTGTTCCTGGAACCTGACCTGTTGAATCACCAGAGCTGTAGAATGAGTATCAGAGCCTGTGAGAAGAACAGGAAGACCATCAGTCAAAGCTGACTCTCTTCCCGCTGTCTCTTCAGACACTTCCCAGGGATGTGGTACAGCAACTATAACCAGGAACAAGTCATCATTAAGCCTAAAGGAATATCTATGGTAACTGGGTTAATAAGTGCAGAACCATATGAAGTAACCAAAAATTACTGTAATGATACAATATGTGTTAACATTCTTTTTTTTTTTTGAGTTGGAGTCCAGTCTGTCGCCCAGACTGGAGGGTAGTGGCCACTCCCGGCCACCGCAGCCTCGAGCTGCTGGGCTCCGGCGATCCTTCTGCTTCAGCCTTCCAAGTAGCCGGAACTACAGGCATG